ATAGATTTGTATAAGAACAATTTTTTAAAGGTATAACAATTGGATTTACCAACTTTTAATAAGCTAACTTAAAAAATCACATGGCATTAATAGACTTTTGTAGTATATAAATACGCGTATATCTTCTATAAACAGAAAATTTTCAATGTTTTTATTGTTTCTTTCTGGTTATTAATATTCATTTCTCTATTTATATACACTCGTATATATTTAGATGAGTTTTTGTGTAGCTTTTGAATGTTTTTGTTTTAAACGTATTTTATTGAATAAATCAAAAGGATTAAAAACAAGTTCTTGCAACTTACTCTCCTTATGTATAATAAAATGTCAGGCAAATAATGATAAAAAAATAATATTTTGAAGTGTTATAAGTGAATAACACGTTAATTTAAAGTCTACATGTTTTATCAATAAAATGGACTGCAGCAAAAATATCAATATTAGTTGATACAGGCAAATCTTTATTACCCCATAATAACAGGTTTGTGTCAATTTTAATCAGTTCTTAAAACATAAACAGGCTATTGGAAAGATCATTTTAGTACTAGTACGTATACTTGCATAATATTTACAAACCATAAAAAAACTTCATACTTTCCACGTGAACAAAGAGGACTGTTGATAATATTGCGTTTATTAAGATCATAATTAAGTAATCAATTGTGTCTTAGTTTAGTATGAAATATGTTTCTATTGTGTTTGCCAAAAGAAACAAATAAGTTGCACAAGCTCTTAACTTTTTAACGTAATGATAATAGCTTCTCTTGTTCCTAATTTTAATAAGTTTGAATTTTTCACAGGTCTGGCACAAATGACCATTTGAATAATTCTAATATACATCTTGGAATAATAAACTGCTCTTTATTGCAGGTATTGTATTTTGAAACATTTTCATGCTTGTTTGGTTCAATATTACTCAAATATTCAGGGACAATCCCTTCTTCAATTAATTTTGAACATAGTATATTAAGTCATTTTTGTAATATAGCACCTAAATATTAAAGTTTAACATATCGTTTCTACATGTCTCAGTAGATGCAAAAATGGGTAATCCTGCGAAAATTCTAGCCACAGCTATGTATACTTTTTCAAGCTTTTCAAAATCATGCTCAAAGCACCCATTCTATACAATAGTAGCGTATTCGAGCATTGGTTTAATAAAATGGAATGTAAAATTTTGAAAGTTTTTATGTGAATTACAGACTTGTCACGTAGGCATATTTCATTAAGCACGTCATGACAAATGTTATTGAATATTAAAGTAACATCTTGTAAAAAACTTGGGCGTCGGTCCACATCCCAGTGAAAAGACAATCAATATGAAGACTAGAATCATCACCATCTTGCCACAGAAAACTGTTACCTTTTATCAAAGTCAATAAAGTATAGGCATTTATTATAATTTATTGTCATTCTTCTGTTGCATTTCTTTGAGCGTATTAACATAATAATAGCAATTCATTTGACAACAAGTGTTAACATTCGATTTCAGAACTGTAATGTAAGAAAAAAGTTCAAATTTAACTGACAGCATGGATAAAATAGATAAGTTTCTCACGTGTCTTTACTCCTCTTACATTTGAACAAACATATGATACATTGTAACTGTTATGCAAGCGTTCAATGCCTTAGTAAAATATACAGACGCTTTTTAGTAGACAAGTGTTCAAGTTTGACTGTTCTCATCATACGATATTTCAATCGGTAGTTTTAATAAAGATATCAAAATTTGAAGGAATTCATAATTTTAAAATGAACATTATAAGTATACGTCGTTTATTTATGAATCTCCATCATCACTATTACTAGGAAGATACTAAAGACCTGACTGACCTGACCATCATGAAATTCGTTATAAATCAATATTTTAAGATCAATTATCGTATTTTTAGATTACTTTCTTGATAATAATAAAAATTTATTATTATTAAAAATTCAATCTTAATTCTCCTTATTTTTAAAACGTTGGAATATGTGAAAAAGGTTGAAATGATATTTACTAGAATATAAGATATCGTATTAAACTTAGATTATTGCAATCTGCGTGCAAAATTTAAGAAAAAGATATAATTTGAATAAAGTTGTATATTTTTGATCAGGACGTAAGAATATACTGGTCAGGTCTTTAGTATAGACATGGTTGGTCAGGTCTTTAGTAGAAATGGTCAGTCAGGTCATTCATATAGACATGGTTGGTCAGGTCTTTGGTAGGTAATGGTCGGCAGGTCTGTAGTAGTATACATGGTCATTAGGTCATTGCAATTGTTGTGTAATATCACCAATATTGTTTTCAAATCATTTAAAAAATGATTAAATATGAACTTTAAATTTTATTTGCATTAAATTCTTTAAATTATAATTTGTGAAAAGTTCACATATTAAATAAATTCAAATGTTTGCTTGGTTAGTTGATTTTAAAGTTCATAAATATGTGTTTCTTTGTCTGAAATGTTTATTTACATTTTAGCATGTTTAGTATTTTACTCAATATAATATATATATTGTAAACAGGGAAATTCTCGCCCCCGTTTTATTTTTGCCCCTTTCACCCTTCTCTCATTTGGGCGAATTTAAAATAGGGCGAATTCAAAGAATACAATAGTATTTCTTAAACAAAACTATGAGTGGGCGAATTTAAAATGCGGCAAAATTGTTTGCACGTGTGAAAGGGCGAAAATAACCCTGTATACAGTATCATGCAATTTATTAAAATATAACATTAAGTGTCAAATACAGGTATATAAAGAAAGATAACGATTAGAAATGATTTTTAAAAAAATTATTTATTATAATTATCACAACTAGTATTCCTCAAATCTAATTGGCTTATGATAATTGTATAAATATTGTTTCATATTTAATTATTTTCCTTTAAAACATTATTTTTGAGAGAGTTGGCTCTACTGGTTAGTTCATTGTTAGTTAGTAAATGATTGTTTAAAAAAATGTACTTTGTCATTATAATTCATTGTCATTGTCATTTAAGGAGCTTCTTAATCAATGCTTTTCACTGTACATGAACACCGAATTAAGAACATAATTTTCACCTATTTTTTACCTATTTTTAAATAATTATTTAAATCTTATCGACAAGTTGTTTTGTTCTGAACTTTAGCAAAAGTAAAAGCACGGATTTATGTCAAAGTTCACTGAATGACACTCCTTAATAACTATACTAATCACAAGTCCTAGTAAAAACTGAGAGCTTACTAGTGCTTTTAACCTTGTTCTTATTCATGACGTTATAATTATTCCGCAGATTATACAAACTATACCTATCTTTGAAAATATATGTCTTGCGATTATATTATAATTTCTAATATCAAGATCTGATTTAAATCATGCGTTTAATTATTAGGACATTCCTTAATCATGCAATTAATTATGAGGACATTCCTCAATCATGCATTTAATTTGAGGACAGTCCTTATAAGATTTATCTGAATTTGATTCAGTAGCACCCGAGAATTGCAATTGCCTGAGCAGTTCAATAAATCCTTTAACTAAGAGGTTTTGGAATTTCTTATCAACTGCACTTTTTAGTCTTTGTAAGAAGATGTTCCTTTGGTCTTTACAACACTTGCAATGATGCATTATTTGGATGTGGTTCAAAGTATTTAATTATTTTAAAGTCCATATCAATTGTCTACGTCAAAAAAGAATCTATATAGATATTTTTAAAAAATCAGCTTCAAATTTTATAAAACCAAATTATTTCTTGTTAAAGTTTCTATCTAATATACCAGAATAGTTGATTACAAAAGTTAATGTTTTGAAAATATTGACTGAAAATTCAAACTATCAAATCAATTTATAAGAAAAACAAAAAAAAATCATAAAAAAATTAAAGAAAATTAAAGAAAATCAAATTGAGTTTTAAAAGATGCATTCATATTTGGAATTTCCTTTAAAACAATTCAATTGCTTTAATATTGTGTGTAGGGCTCTAATATACTGTACGGCTATTTTGGTCTCTATGGCGCCGAAAAATAATGATTGGTGCCTAATTTATTTTTCCATAATCGCCAAATTTGCGACCATTTTAAAATTGCCTAGGTGATCGTCATGTTACTGAACAATAAACATTTTCAATTTTTATAAAGGGCAGAAAAAGGCTTAAAATAAAGCTATGGACACGTCCCTACATGTATATATTGACTAATATCAGTTTTTGAATCGATACCTAAGAAAAAAGTTAACTATCGGCTGTTTTTAAATTAGGAGCCTGTTGGCGTCTAAATTTTAGAGGACAAATAGAGTCCTGCTATTAATGTGTGAAATTTAACAAGTATACGAATCAGAAAAGACACATCGATATCATTTACGTGTATGTTAAGATTTCAGAGACGTTTCATTAATTCAATGAAGATTATAATTAACTTCTCAACTAAAGCATTGTAGTGAATTAACAAAGGAGGAGGGGATATATAGTTAATGTTTTAGTATCTGTAATAGTGTTGTCAATATCTGATCTATTAAATTTAACATTTAAATGTCGATTTATAACTTTTGATTTGATCACTTAGAGAATGCATAGAGAAAACATTACCCTTTTTCCATATCACATCCTGCATAAGTCATAAACACCAATATCAGCCAAGAGGCTGATACAGGATGTGATATCAAAAAATGCTCCGTTTTATAAAGAATAATGAATAACAAATTCTGTATCACACCCCATATCAACCTGAGACTTCAATATCAGACCGTTTAAAAAAAATTCCACACATGATAAAATTGTAAGGTTTTTTTTTTAAATTGAATATTAAAAAAAGATGTAATTTTTAAATTTTGAAAAAGAGACATTTTGAAATTAAAAAAAAGAAAGAAATTCAGTAGATTTCTCTACCAGTCATTGTTGACACCTGTGTAAGATGGGTCAGTATGACAGAAACAAAGTAGTTTTTTATATAAATTGATTAAAATGCAATATGCTGAAATATTATTTGAAAAGAGCAATGACTCGTGATTAAACGTGTACATGTTATTTACTTTATAAGTAAGATATGAAAACTTGTCTAACATAAAGATATCACTTCTGAGAGGGGTAGGACGCTATGATGATTCTACTGTACGCTTTTATATTAATCATCTCTACTTCAGAAGGTAGGAAGAAAGTCTTATCAATCGATGAAATTTGTAAAAAATATAAATACAACCTTACATATGCCAATAAACGAATATGAAAATTAAATTAAAGAAGATGGGGGAACAAGGCATGCAGAATGCCTATAGCTTCGGATATTTAGGAAATATTATTCATTTTATAAATTAAGTATTTAAATTAAGGTTGCATTATTGAAATTTATGAAAAACAAACTTTTTTCGAGAAAAAAATTCTCGGAAAAAATTATTCTTTTATTAAAATATAAATAAGTTTTCGTGGAATTCGAACTCTGGCAATAAAAATTCGAAGTATCATTTTACTTTGAGATTAACGTACTAGCCACTACGATACACAGTTTATGAAGAACTGGCCGGATCATCTAAAAGGTAGGATTCTTCTCATATTTGTTGTATTTAAAAATTGATGAAATTTTCACAGAATCAAGAAGACAATATCAGTAAGTGATAGCATCAGTGAGATTAAATTTGACCTTTTTATATTAGAGGCAAGGTCAGGTCAAGATCATTATCTTTTTCCTTGACATTTTGAATAAAAAATACTGTTGCCAATCATGTTTTGCTTACTTCTATTTTAAGATTTTAAAGATTGTTCTTTTTCCATTGAAAGATTTCACCATATCGGGTCTATAGCATGATATTACCAAATTTACATAAATAATTTAACTAAACTGGATATTGGCTAATCCGAATATTCTCTATTTTTTTTTTTATTTTTTAGGATATATTAGTTATTTTCATATGCTTCCTATATTTAACTTTTTCATATTTTCACATTTAATAACGTAGTCTTATAAATGTACAAAATGATACAAAAACAAAAAGTCTTGATCGTTTACTAAGAAAGAAAAATACTTTCTATGGATTTTTAGCTAAAATTTGTATTTTGATTGGAAGTGTTTAAAATCTAACATAGTACTATTTTGTTTGAAAAATCATATTTATTTTATATATTTTGAAAGTTTAGTCCCTTATTATTAATCTAACTTACATTTGAAAATTTCTGCAAGTCTTTGATTGTCTAAAAATTACATGTATAACTAAATTCGTTGTTCTTTTATAATTCTGAGAGGCAGAAAAGAAGGTATTTTCATACGCCACCATTCCGCCAAAAATATAGTCCCTGCTATTTTTCAAACGCAGTTTACAATTTCTATTGTAACACAATTGTGATGAGGAAAGAAAAAAAATGGTCTTTTAAATCCCTTACACCTAATTATATAAGACAAATAAGCAGATATACTTTGAATGTTTCGTCTAGTCAGAAACCAGAGAAGAATCCTACCTTAAATAATGTTTGTGATATGACCCTAGACTTAAGAGACTTTAAGTATTTCTCGGAAAGATGCAAATGTTTTGTCATAAATGTGATCTTTTAAGGTATAGTGGGTCCTTGCTCCATATTTTTGTAAAACAGAGAATGTATATTTTATCAAAACTTTTAGGATTATCTTTAAAAAAATGGAGCGAAGACCCACTCATACTGAAAAATATTGCGTATGAGAAAACAATCTTTTTTGTCCTTTTTAGTGTGAGCATGTTTTTTAGTCGGCTAATAATTTCAGACTTTGTGAGATTTTTACAGAAGCCCGTTGAGGCCAGTTCAGAGCGAGAAATATTTTTTATTGCGATTAATCGCAATAATTATTGCGTTTAAACGCAAAACATTGCATGCATTTAATTGCAATAACTATTGCGTTTAAACGAAAAACATTGCGATTAATTGCAAGAACCATTGCGTTTAAACGCAAAGTACTTTGCATTTAATCGCAATCTTTTGCGTTTAAACGCAATACTTTTGCGATTAAACGCAATACTTTTTGCGTTTAAACGCAATAATATTTTTGCGTTTAATCGCAATATTTTTTGCGTTTTAATCAAATTTAATTTAATCGCAAAAGTATTGCATTGAAACGCAAAAATTATTGCGTTTAATCGCAATATTATTGCGTTTAAACGCAAAAAATTTTGCGATTAAAAGAAAAAATATTATTGCGTTTAAACGCAAAAAGTATTGCGTTTAAACGCAAAAGATTGCGATTAAATGCAAAGTACTTTGCGTTTAAACGCAATGGTTCTTGCAATTTATCGCAATGTTTTGCGTTTAAACGCAATAGTTATTGCGATTAAATGCAATGTTTTGCGTTTTAACTAGCGATGTCAAAATGTCTATTTTCCTTAGTCGAACATTCGATTGCATTATTTGAACGATAGTCGACTATTCGGAGCATTTTTTGAAAGAAAAAAACTCATCGATAGCATTTAAAGAAAAAACCTTTTCGTAAATTTAAGTAAAACGTAACATTAATTGCCTATACTTTGTGTTACTCAGCGATATTCAGATGAACCTTAAGTTGGGAAAAGATTTAGAAATGAAAAAGAATAACACCAGCGATTGATTATCCAAAATGTATGAATATTTGTAAATCACATTCATAGAGTCTGTACATTCTTTCGTTCTAGTACGCTTAGGGAATTGTCAGCAGTGTTTTTAAATTGGAAAAGGGGAAGAGATTATTGTTTTAATAATAATCGAAGTTTCAAAACTTTACGTTTATGCTGTGTTCCTATAGCATTATTTAAACATTCTTGGAGGTAATAATTAAATTTATACCTCGTCCAATTGATAATTTTCAAAGTCCAGTAAAGCACTGCATAATTTACTACAATAGCAAAAAAGGTCAGTAATAGAGAAATAATTATCGCGGTATGTAATTACTGTACTTTCTTTGTTTACAATGTGGAAACTTGTTTATATACTATGACTGTGTTTAAACTCTTATTCATTAGAGAACGGATACTATAATGGTTTTATGAATGACGCTTTGCAATTTTGAGTTGAGAATTCTTTTACACCTCCTTTTTTGCATTTATCAAATATTCGAATGTCGTTTCATTATTCGATCGTCGGTCCATTCGACTGACAGTCGAATAGTCGACTATTCGTTGACATCCCTAGTTTAGACGCAATAATTTTTGCGATTAAAAGCAATAAAAAATATTTCTCTCTCTGAACTTGCCTCAACGGGCTTCCGTAGGCCTCAACGGGCTTCTGTAGATTTTTGTAAATCGTAGATAGAAGAAATATAAAACAAAATTTGGATATAATTGAGATTTAATTTTTTCACTTCATGTCTTTCGCACTATATGCACTTCGTCCGCCTTATCCCCTGTCTTCTTATTGAATGAATTTTTCCCCAACGAAAAATCCATTAGAATTTACAATATTATTATTTTTTTTAATTTGAAAATTTAAAGCCGTCAAACGAGAATGGGCTTCGGGAGTTACAGCATTTTCGTCACAGTACACCTCAACAAGGTAAGCTAGTTAAACTTTCAATATTTTTAATACAGTTATAATCTATATACATTAATCTAACAACTAATCGTTTTATGACGAATCACATGCATAGACTATGGCAAATTTTCTAGCTACTCAGCAAAGCAGATATTGGGAAAACCGAATGTTTATCCTACATATAGTGTTAATGCACTGGCATGGATGCCGAGGAGTTTTGATGCAAATCAATACATAGAGGTAAATCTCTGAAGAGATTGTCTACCCTCACTTAATAATGATTCTATTAACAATAAGCACAGGCATCAATTTAGAAACATTTTCCATACGTTATCTTCTTTCAAAAATAGTCTTATTCCTTACTTACATGGATTGACCTTTACATATTCAAAATGATATTTTTAAAAATAGAGGTTATATCATGAATTATACACTGAATATCTTTTTAATTATCAGTTGAAATTTCCGGAAAAGATTTGGTTAACTCATGTTAACATATACGAAACTTATAATGCTGGAGCTGTCACGAGAATATTGGCGAAAAACGAAGAAAAACGATGGATTGAAATCTTTAGGGCTCCATATGCACATTTAGTCAAGAAGTCAAGGATATTTTCCCCCCAGATTAAAGTGAGTATTTTTAGAGAATTTAAAAAAGAATATAATTTATTGAACAATGTTTCTCACTGGTTAATATTCGCATTGGTTTTTAGAATCTTTAAGAAATCGTATTTTTTAAAGAAGTAGGATCTTTCAACAACATTATTTTCTAAGTCATTGAGTAGAGATAAAGTTTTGGAAACACATTTTCTAAATAAAAATTGTTTCTAGTTATAAATGATTCGTAGATAATGGCATTGTTAATATCTAAATATTTCATATATAGATATGAATATAATTAATTTATATAAATATTAAAATTAAACTAAACATATCATTCTATGCAGAGAGTGGACTTCCCTGTAAATGAGCTGAGAATAGAAGTTGATTGTACTGTCTCTGGCACTTATGTAGCTATTGACGCAGTTGAAATAGTTGGAGGTATTTATTCTCATCTTTTTGTTTAAGAATTTATTAGGAACAAATGAATTCCAGATAAATATATTTCAATCTAACGAAATTAAACGCAGAGAATAATGCAGTTATGTTTATTTCTCTCAATCTCAAATACATCGCAACTGACAGAGATTCTTTTTAATCACCGAAAATTGATAAATTATATTGTTTAATGAAAATCTTTGCAGTTTTATAAAATATTTAAAACCTAAAGGATATCGGCACTTTTGGGTTACATGGAAAAGATCATACAGAAGGAATTGCTTTTTGATTGGAGAGGAGCATTGGAAATGAGAATAAAATTTCCTATATTTCATTGTATTCTGTGTCTTTGAAGAAGGAACCCCTTCGCGGATGTTTTAGTAGTTTCGATACGTTTCTATCTAATTTCATTTCCGTAGCTTATTTGGTCTTTTTTCAAAACAAAGGTGGTTGTCCTAGACGGTTTAGAAAACTCTGGGATTCTTGTTATCTCATCAGGAAAGCTAGAGTGTCGGCAGACATGGCGTTCGTAAGTAGATAAATGTATTGAAACGATTGCATATAAACTGCAATTTCTTCGATCATATGTAACTGCAATTTCTTTTGATCGTATGTAACTGCTGCTCTATAAATGTCATCATCAAGGTCAACTGTTTAGAGGCTGGTGGGTATTTGGCCAACTTTGAAACTCTTGAAGAGGCTATGCGAATGAAAAAATTTCTAAAGAAAATGGGCAGAGGTAATAATGAAAACTTTTTGGAGTCCTTCTTACCTCACCTGAGTGAGCTTTTCTGATCAAAATTTGTCCGTTGTCTGTCGTCGTCGTTGTAAACTTTTCACATTCCCATCTTCTTCTCAAGAACCACTGGGCCAATTTCAACCAAACTTGCTACAGAGTATCTTTGGGTCAAGGGGATACAAGTTTCTTCAAATGAAGGGCCACGCCTTTTTCCAATGGGAGATAATTATGAATCAAAGAAAAATTAATGTCATTTTTAAAAAATCTTCCTCTCAACAATTACTGGGCCAGGAAAGATGAAACTCATGTGGAATCATCCTCAGGTAATGTAGATTAAAGTTTTTTTTTCTTCAAATTATGACCCCCAGGGGCAGGGTGAGGCTACAATGGCCGATCAAAGTTTTACATAGGAATATATAGAAAAATTCTTTAGAAATCTTCTCAAGAACCATTGAGACAGGAAAAATGAAACTCATGTGAAATCATTCTCAGGTAATGTAGAATCAAATTTGTTTAAATCATAACCCCCGGGGGTTACTAAGGGTGGGGCCACAATGGCTGATCAAAGTTTTGCATAGGGATATATAGGAAAAATCTACTTCTCAAGAACCATTGAGACAGGAAAGATGAAACTCATTTGAAATCATCCCCAGGTAGTGTAGATTCAATTTAATTCAAATCATGACCCCCGGGGGTTGGGTGAGGTCAAAATGGCCGATCAAAGTTTTACACAGGACTATAGAGGGAAATCTTTTAAAATCTTTTCAAGTACTTTAAAGCCATGATTACTGATATTTATATGGAATCATCCTCCTAGATTCTAGATAGTTTGTTCAAATCATAACCCCCAGGAATAGGGTGGGGCCACATTGGGGGTCAAAGTTTTACATAGAAGAATAAAGAAAAATCCCAAGAACAGAAAAGCTCTATTAAGTCATATTGACATGTAAGCATCCTCATGTACTGAAAATTTAAATTTGTTCAAATCATGGCCCTTTGGGTTAAGGAGGGAAACAATTGGGAATCAAATTCAATTTATTAGGAAGTAATATATAGGAACAAAATGTTCTAAAGAAATCTTTTTTTTATTAAGAACAGCAAAGTCAAATGCTGTATGAGATTTGAAGATTTGAAGGAATTCTCAAGTAGTATTAAAATTCAAGTCCCCTCCCCAAGTAAACTTTTCAGTTCTGATCCAATTTGTACTTTTGCCTAGCTGATGGGCTCAGGTGAGCAATGTTGCCCCTGGGCCTCTTGTTAAAATTCTTAGAGGTTTCATTCATACATTTTTGTATAAAAACTTTTAAAAACACTTTTATAAAATCTACAAAGTAATTCATTCATTTTGTACTACTAATATTATATCGCATATTGGTATTAACTTACCTGATGAATGACTTATTCTAAATTCTAATGGTTTTTTCAATAAATTTTTTTTATCTGTTTAGATCAACTTATTGAAATTTATTCAATTTTTTTTAAACTTAAACTATCAGGAAGTAACTTCTATGTTGGGGGAAGAAATGTTAACAGAAGAAAGCCCGGGGGAGATTGGAGATGGATTAAGCACGGACAAATGACTAAGATGAAATATTATGCATTTGCTGCCAACGAGCCTAATGGATCTGACAAGTCACCTCAAGACTGCATGTTCTTCTATGCAAGAAGCCGCTACTCCTTCCACAATATCTATTGTGATAATGGTTCACATCTTAGTGGCTATATCTGCGAAGCCTGAAAATTATCAATTGATTTATAATGCAATAAATTGAAAGCATCTTATCATTTTTCTGTTTTCTAGAAATATCAATAAAAATTATGGATTTAACCTGTCTATACAACTAACACAAGTGAACTTGTGATGAAAATTTATTTTAATGAAAGTTAAGCAATTATTAGTGAAAGTTTGTATTTTGAAAAATAAATCAAGCAAGGTCACAAATAACAAAGACCAGATCAAGTCAAACAATTACACACATACACGTTTTTGTCTTAAAACTCGGAATAGTCCTGAGTTATACTTTGTATTTTCTTGATGACAGAATGTCCAGCACATATAATATTCACGTGACTCAACTAACTATATCACACATCAAATGGCATTCACTCAATTTTCAATTAACACATTCATGCAATTATCACTCATACGGAGATTGTTATAGATAAGTTGTAATTAATGAATTTTTAATTTTTAATGCAACGCAACTACAGATTGACCTCCCTGTTGCTTGAATTTCTAATATTAGTGACATTATGTACCTATCTTCAAATGAATTGAAGATAGGTACAATTGAATTAAAGATCGGTACAATTGAATTTATACCAATCCCAAAATAATTATACCCCTGTCTAATTATATACCTACTAGGTACAAATAAATTATACCTATCTTTAATCGAATTACAGCTATCTTCAATTCAATTAAAGATATAGGCTCAATTGAATTATACCTACATAATAATACCGGTAATGTATCTCTAATTCATTTGAAGAAAGGTATAATTGATTTGAAAATAGGTACAATTGATTTAAAGATAGGTTCAATTAACACATATCTAAAACGGATTTGAAGATAGGTACAATTCAGTTATACCTAGGTTCGTATTGTGTTGTTGAAAATAATGAACGCTCCCTCGAAGACAATATTGAACATGGAGGGAAACGCACAGGCCTACAGAGCGACGTCAACGAGAATAAAGGGAGAAATAAATGTAAATTAAAAATGTGCACAAAACATAATATACTTATTAAAATAAACATTTATATCATGTATGTATATCTTGTATGGCAGACGGATGAAAATTCCGATAAACTTTCGCGCCAGATATGGCGTACCAGAAATGACGTATGATAAATTGCCAATATCTTAGTAATTAAAGAAAGATTCAATTCAAATATACCTATCTTTAAATCAATTATACCTATCTTCAATTCATTGCATTTGTATCTATCTTCAAATCAATCGTACCTATTTTGAAATAAATTAAAGATAGGTATGATTGAATTGTACCGATCTCTAATTCATTTGAAGATAGGTACAATTCAATTGAAGATAGGTACAATTCAAATGACGATACATGTTGGTACAATTCATTTGAAGATAGGAACAATTATTTGAATTTATGTTAACTTGGCGTTCCATAATAAAAACATGCGCCTGAATGATTGAGACTACAGTTGAGAAGATTTACGGAAAGCTTCAAGTCGGATCAATATTAAACAAAAACAATAAACTTTTAAACTTTTTTTTTTTACATATATTTGCACTTTTTATTCATAACATCAATTGTTTTTTAATTGTTATAACACTTTCACATGTACATGTATGATAAATTTCATCTGTTGGTACACAATTACATTCAATCTACACACAATACATAATAATTATACTTATAGAATGTGATTTTAAGTTGTTTTGAAGAAAAAAGGACAAACAAAACAAACTTTTAAACTTTATCAATCCCTTAAGTAACTGTTGGCTGCATAAAATATAAATTAAGAACAGGCACATGGATTACCTAACACCAAATATATACCTGTGGTATTTAATTTAATGAATATAAAATACAAACTGTGTATGGTACGTTTATATGCGATAAGTAAAATCTAATGTGTACTCTATTTTAAAGTATATGCATTATCGACGTCTGTCAGTGTGATTTAAACGAACGGGTTTGTTGAAGCGTAATTTTTTTTCAGAAATTTTCGATTTTCATGTAGAATGGGTTCTGATTCCATTTTTTGAACAAATGAAATAAATTTCACATTTACTTTTCCATCATTTAAGCCTTAAAGCTGACATGAATTCTTAAAAACGCAACATTTTCATCTATGTACGACTTGTTTCATACCAACTATAGCCGTATTCCGCCATATTTCTTTCAGATACATTGTCTCATTGTAACGATATATACCCCAATGCGGTCGTTACACTTGAATGATTTTGTGGCTTGGGTATCGACTTGTGCACATCTTCGATGGTAAAGCATATGAGAACACATGAGGTGATCAAGACATTTCAAAACCACAACAAACAACATAATAATCATATTTCTGAATAATTATTGATTTGAATCAGAAGGAAAAAATGCAAGTTTGGAAGAGAAATTTAGACGCATGAGTACGTATTTTACAGTGCGCCAATTTATGCAGAATAAGCTTGAAATAAAAAGCAGTAAAATTTGCAAAATTTTGAAATTATATCATTTGAATGGAACAAAACAACCTACGTCTTTGATTTGCAGGTCCTAAAGATGCAATTGATGCATATCGAGAAAACGCCTCGAACGCTGTAAACGTACCCATACCTGGAAATAAGGTTACTGCATCGGTTCAAAGATGTGCACAAGTCAAGTGATATACACCCTGAATCCCATTTATTGAAATATGCATCACAAAAAAGAAATAAACTCCATAAAAGCTCAATAGTAAACACACTGTCATTACTCCGTACAGACTAGCACGTCGATACACTTAGTCCGTGCTGATCACATTTTGATCAGGGAAAATATCACAAGTGGAAAGAGAACTTATTTGGGATTTGCGCTGCTGAAAAGGGGGGGGGGGTTAAAGTATTATAACTGCTGTTCATAAGCTATAATTGTGAATTGTCTATCTACATGCAGGCACGTAGCATCGTTTTTGAAAGTGGGGGGGCCTTTTTACTTACCTGAAAAAGTTGACAAGCAAAAAAAAAAAAAAAAAAACAAAAAAAAACCAATATTAAAAGTTGCCCAAAGTTGAAAATCCTATTTCGTGGGGGGGGGGGGGGGGGGGGGGGGGGGGGGGGGGGGGGGGGTAGTGGCTAATTTTTTTCAAGGCCAACTGTCTTTCAATTCATACTTTTTGGGGTAAATTTTCTTTATAACACTACACTGTGCTGAAATGTGGGGGGGGGGGGGGGGGGGGCAACCTTCCTTTCAGTATACATTTTCTATAGTAAAGGTAATGCTGGGAGAAAAAGTGGGGGGGCCAGGCCCCCTCTGGCCCCCCCTGATACTACGTGCCTGACATGTACTTTTAATATACATTCTATACAAAGTCATGTATATAGTCTGCAGTTGGTTTGCGTCGCAAAATTCATTTGTCAATTATAACTGATTATTTTAGTACTAATCTCAAATCTAAACCAAGTAATTTGAGGTACGGTAATTATTTACTTCAAATCTTAAAAGCAATTCACCAGAATACAAATTTTTATGTGTACATCTATACGTTCATTAACACACACACAAATACGGAGAAAGGCCATCCCCTGTTCAGATTGACATTTAGGCATTTGATTTTTTTTTAGGCGCGGGGGGGGGGGGGGGCATGCAAAAATAATTGACATGACCGTTATTTAAATATTCTTGGAAGACAGACATTTCTGCCGAATTCAATTTTGAGATTTTTTTAAAAATGTGTCACTTCGACCACAAAGTAAGTGCATTTTGAGGAATGTAACTGTTTTATGTTGTTACAGAGAGTCTTTCGAGATTTCAGTATCCCTGCCTGATAGTCTTGCTATTTTTTTTGTATAAGAATAATTTCTTTAGGAGTATTTGAGAGATAATTTTAAGAGCTAGAGTAGGGATACTCGACACTGGTTGAATACGGATAATTTTTATTAACTCTTTTGTATATTGAACTCTCTCTTTCTCCCTCTCCCATCCGTTAGGGCAATAATAGGTATAAAATCTCACACACTTTATGCTGTACCATTTATTAAGCCTTAGAACTGATCAAGGATTTTTCTCAGACGGGATGTCGAAACTTCGTAAATTGAATAATAATTTTAATTTGGAGACAAGAAATTAACCCAAACGCCCAAATTGAAAGAGAAACTAGAGGTATTGTGAGCAATGAGCTCACTAAAGGATACCCCGCCTCCCATGTGGTTATACATGTAATGGCAGTCCATATTTTGCTGTTGTCGCTAAACCCAAAATATGTGTCGAATCAAAAAGCAGGCACGTAGCATCGTATTTAAAAGTGGTGGCCAGTCAGAGAATTCTTTTTAATTAGCTGAAAAAGTTGACAAGCAAAAAAAAAAAAAAAAAAAAAAAAAAACAACAAAAAAAAACCCCAAAACCTTCAATTAACATTTCCTATAGTATAAGTTAGGTCGAGGAAAAAAAGTGGGGGGCAGTTCCCCCCCCCCCCCCGTTGCTACACCCCTGAAAAGTAAAATAGGAGTTGCACAATAGTAATATGTAATAAACCTTGGATTCTGTGAAAGTTTCATTAAATTTCACTAAGTGGTACAAGATGATTTGCGGATAAGAGATTGGTACCCCAAAGTGTAAGAGACAGACGCACGGACAGACGGACGGACATAACGATTACTATATACCCTCCCACTTTTCAAGCGGGGGATATAATAAACGTGAAATATACATCACAGGAATGGGAACATTGGGTACTTTCTCAATTACCTTCTCAAACGTCGAACCTGGACCTGGACAACAGACAAGAGAATTTTTCAAAAAGCTAATTGTAGGTAGAATGTGGAATTCTCATGGGGAGTTTGCTCTCTCTACCTATATGCTTTTCCTAATAATCATTAATTATTTATGTCTAGAAATTTAATTCACATTAAATTCTATTTTCATTATCATTGCACCACAGAATCAAACTTGTTTATTATACTCCTCGCAATAAGTTGCGTGCATGAGGTATAATGTTTTTGACCCGTCAGGCAGTCTTTTTTTTCTTTTTTTGGTCAGCGCAACTTCTCATACACCTCTGCACAGAGTTTTGTCCAATTTTGCAGATATTTATAGGAGACAATGTGTGTGTAG